CTTTCCACCCTGTTATTACTGTGCTACCAGCAACACAACCAATTCCTTAAGTTTTTACTAGAAAAATTAGTAATAAGGAAAGTTAAAAAAAATCTCATTTGAAAATTAGTATTTCAGAATTGCAATTTAAGGGTTTTTTATTTCGAACGTTCAGTAGTTTTGCAACCCATTTGAATACTTTATTTTTTTTACCCTTTTTTAAAAATGAGATTGTGGAATCTTAAAAATGAAATGGGCCATTAATTTACCTAGCACGAGTAGCTTGTCTTCTGTTGAGTTAATCGCCTAATCCTTCGGATGAACATTCTTCTGTAAATATGTGAATAAACCTCATGTACTGATCTGCCTTAAAGAGTGCCATGTACTGTTACAGGAGCAGGCTTCCTGGGTGTGCCAGTGTGATGACAACATGGTTCAGAGACTAGAAACAGACTTCAAGATGACTCTACAGCAGCAGAGCACTCTGGAGCAGTGGGCTGCCTGGCTTGATAATGTCATGATGCAAGCGTTGAAACCATATGAAGGAAGACCCAGCTTTCCAAAAGCAGCAAGGCAATTTCTGCTAAAATGGTCTTTCTACAGGTAGTACCTAAAATGTATCTAAAAATGTTTTTACTGTGTTTTATACTTCACTCTTCATTTGTACGTACACATGCTCACATATTAACATTGAGGAAAAAATGAGATCAGAACATGTAGTCCTAATGACGAAAGGTCCCATGTTATTCTACAGAACAAGAGCACTATTATGTTTACACAAATCCAAGACAATGCTGAATTTAAGGTGACCCCACAGTAATTAAATTCTATATCCGTGTAGGCAACCCCCAGGACAAGTGCCAGAGTGTAACACACAAAGGCATTTTGCTTGACACACACACCTCGGGGAAGGGGCCAAGGATGCATGGCCACAACAAGGATCAGGCCCCTCGCAGCTACCCTGCCAACATCTTCCCCTGGCACACCAACATCGTACAAGTTGAGCATGCATGTGTTTTTGGCACTCTGCCCAAAAACATTGCTGACTTCTGTTCTATATACTGTATTTATTCAGATATAAGATGAGGTTCCTCCCTCCCCATCTGCATGGGGGAAAAGCTCCTCACCTCATATTCACATACTAAGTGGAGCGGGGTGCAGGCAGCTGCTGTAGCTCTGACTCTAGCCCTGGCCCTCTTTCCCCTTTGAAGCTTCTGCCCTCCACTCTCTTACTTTCCTCCCCCTTACTGTCAGGCACAGCTCAGTTCTGGCTCAGGGGTCATTTCTGGGCACAGAGCACATGGAAACTCCTTCCCCTGCCCAGCCAGTCAGCAGTGCCAGCACTGCTGCATGGCCAGGCAAGAGCTGAGCTTTCACATGCTGTGCTCCGGGAACATTCTGAGCAGCGTCTGACAGTATGGGGGGGAGGGGAAGAGATAGAAACTGGGGGAAGCTGGCGGGGGGGGGGAAGAGGCAGAGACTGGGGCAAGAGCAGGGAGGGGCAGAGACTGTAGGAAGCTGGGGACTGGAGGTGCAAGTGGCGTAGGGGCAGGAAGGTGGCAGGGAAAAGTGGCAAAGCAGCCACCTGACTTTGTCTCCCCCTTCTAGCCAGTGCTTTCCCTGATGTAGCAGTGTGTGGTGGGGTGGGTTAATTCAAGACAACCCTCCAATACTTAGATGCTATAACTGAAAAATTATAACAAATTTATACATTTTCTAAATACAGGCTAATTATTGGGGGTCTGCTTTATATTCAGGGTTGCCTTATATTCGAGTAAATACAGTATATCAAAAATTTATAAATTTGTTTACAATTTTCCAAATATGGAATCTAATTAGTGGAGAGCCATCTTAAATTCATCTCACCCACCATTACAGTGGAGAAAGTGCGGGGCACGCAGTGGAGGAGGCACTGGGGGAGGCTTTAGAGAAGGCAGGCAATGGGGGAGTCAAGCCACCTGATGCCTGTCCCCCCACCACTTGCCCCCACTTTTCCCTGCCTTCCTGAGCACTTGCACCTCACCCCCCCCCCACACACACACACACACCTCATGGAGCATGGGCTGAAGCTGCCACCACCACCGCTGCTACCAAGCCAGGCTGGGCCTGGTGCTGGAGCAACCATGTGCTGTGTCCTGAGCTGCAGGGCCAGAGCCCTGCCAGAACTAGAAGGAAAGTAATGGGGAGCAGAGGCTGTGGGGGGCCAAATGGTGGGGACACAGAAGTGGCAGAGGATGGTGTGGGGGTAGACAACAGTGGGGGCAGATGCCAGAGGAAGCAGGCATGGGGGGCAAGTAGCAGGAGGACAAGGGGCATAGGCAGGAAGGAGGGTAAGTGGTGGAGGGGACAGACAGCAAGAGGCATGGTGTGTGGGTATAAGGGGCAAAGGTCAGGCTGCTTGACCCCCCCACACCTTCTGCCCCCCCCCCCCAATGCCTCCCTACCACCTTGCTTACTACTGCCTCCCCCCAGCTACTTTCCCTGCTTTCCCCACTTCAGATTGGGGGGGGGGGGCGCAGACACATTTAAGACAGCTTTCCAATAATTCAGTTCTAGGCTGGAAAATTAAAACAAATTTACACATTTCTCATGTATAGAATCTGATCAGTGGGGGGTTATCCTAAATTCATGTTCCTCTCGGATTCAGGTAAATACCTGTGGCTGGCAACCTAAAATTAGCTCTCCTTCTCTTACCAGAATAGAGCTAGCAAATAAAGTATATTCTATGTGTTTCTGGTTGGTAGATATATGCACGCGTTGCATTATTCAGGGGTGTAGGCTGTAGCCGTGTTGGTCTAAGGACATAGGTAGACAAGGTTCTTTGGGTACATCTGATCTCTTTTATCAGATTTACCCAAATTGGTAGTAAGATGGTCAAGTTGGTCTAATAAAAGAGATCAGATTTATCCAAAGAATTTTGTCTGCTTTGCATTATTTCATTTTTTCTATCTATGTAAAGTACATTGACAGAATTATCATAATACCACTTTGTTGAACTCTTTTTTTGTTTCTTTTTTCCATTTGAGGACCGGGATTTCAAAGGACTGTTTTTGCATATGCCCAATTTGTGTGTATGCTTTTAAGTGTGCGCACAAATTGGAACACTCTCACAAACCTACCGGAGATTTTGCTTGCGTAAAAAACTTCTACCCTTGAAAATTTGGCTAGTGTTTTTTAAGGCAGATTATCTCTCAGATAATTTTTTAGAGAAAGGGGATAGTTTGTTGCAAAAACGCTTCTGTAAAGCTCCTATAACATAACTCACCTAGTTTATTTAATCCAGTCTATTTGAAAGTTAAACCTAGTCAATTTACTTTTGAGAACTGTTTTGTATTTTCAGAATAGTGCAATGCATCATATCTATAGTATTCAGACAAACAGTATTCTTAGCATCTTTTCTGCATTACTGTCTTTGACCTTGCATTCCAAAGACCCCACAGCAGAGGAATTCATGTTTGCGGATGTTTGTTTCAGAAGTTTCTGCTTGGAATCAGTTCTTCTAATGGATAAAGCATATAATTGTAACCATGAGTTGTCGTGTTTATTTTATATCACTACATATAACTATAATATTTTCCATTTCTAAACAGTTCAATGGTGATTCGAGATTTAACCTTGCGCAGTGCTGCTAGCTTTGGCTCTTTTCATCTGATCCGCCTGCTTTATGATGAATACATGTTTTACTTAGTAGAGCATCGTGTTGCTCAGGCAACTGGAGAGACACCTATAGCAGTTATGGGAGAGGTAAGCTAATGTATAAGAGACATGTATTAGATTTAAATGAACTTAGAGTAAACCTTTGCAAAATTTCTGAAATGGCTGTTTAAATGTGCATTTTCAACATATAAAAAGAAGGTTAGTAACATATCTGCTGTAGGTATATGCATGGTATCAGACACGTCAAAAGTCTCATTGTATTTAGTAAGTTTATGTATAGAAATCTTTTGGTTTCGATAGTCATATGAATAAAATTAAGCCTACACATAGGTATTTGCAGAATGAGACATAAAATGGGTACCAACAGTATTCTTTGCATTCTACAACATAAACATATCTCACACCAGTCAGAAAAAGACCCTGACAAAAATGTCAGAGAGAGAGAGAGAGAGAGAGAGATTTTTTTTTTTTTTTTAAATAGAACTTTATATTTTACTTGCTTTCACCATTTTCATTGCTGAGGCATTGTCTTTAGCACTGATTTCTGTACTATAAGAAAGGACATAACAGGTCTTTCTGGGACTAGAAAGCATGTTGGTAAATTAAATGAACTCCTTTTGGCTGTTCATGATATCCTCACCTCTACGTTTTTTGTCAGAGAAACAAGCCAACTGTAAAGATTTTTCTGCATGTGGCCACATACGTTGTTGATGCTGTCATTCAATCCAGACCTGTCCATCAACACTGTCCAAATGCACCTAGTTGCTGTCTGAGCCTACTATCCTCTGGTCAGTGGCCAGAATGTTTTTTTCTTACCTGGCAATCCTGCAATTCTTCAAGAGTCTGATGAAGGACCATGTTGCACAAGGGGTCCTAATGTTAGTTTACACATCTCTGATGGGGCGGTTGTTTAATCCTGTGGCAATGGTTTCCTTGCTCAACATTTCCATGAAAAAAGTCTTCCTGTGGCTGTTACATCAGCAAGAAGGATGGGTGAAATCCAAACTCTCGTGGCAGATTGCTAAGGCCAAACCCTAAGGTTTTTTCCAAGATGGTCCCTGTATTCAGCCCACATATCAACTTGCCAGTGTTCTCCCCTAGGGAGACACGAGATGCTACATCACCGGAGCAGTGCGCTACAGGAACGTAGCATTAGCGGGCACAAACCATGGCACCGCAGGTATGTCGCCGTAGCAACATGCTCCCTCGCTATAATGCGTTGCTATGGCGACATAGCAACTAAAAATAACAATGCGCCGCCAGCACTGCAGTACGGGCTGTTACTGCACCGTCATTTAGTACTTCCAGTACTTATACTGATATTGCTGCACTCTAGCACTTCCGAAAGGAAGTACTAAATGACAGCGCAGTAACAATGTCACCATAGGGGCAGGTATAGACCCACTCTAGATGTCATTCTTCATGAGTTGAGATGTTACAATTGCTTTCTGTGAGAAGTCTTAACCTCTTACTTACAAAGGAGTAAGCCTTTCAAAAAGTTGCCATAGCTGTTATTTTCCATAGCCAAGAACTGCTCGAGTGCAGCAATATCAACGCAGAGCCTGTACAAATTGATTTATAGTGTGTCAAGCTGTGTATGAGACTGCCAAGGTAGAACCACTGTCTGAAGTCAGAGTTCACTCCACCAGAATTCAGGCAATACCTAAACCAACCATGCACACTACTTCTATAGCTGTCTCTTCAGAGCAGCCACCTGAAATTCGAAAATGTACCTTAACTGAGCAGTAGAATCAGCAACAGAATCAGAGAGGCCTCCTGGACAGGTGATACATATGATTAATCAGTCCTTCCACCTGCTGCTTGCCATTTGGACTCTAAGATCCAACTCCAGGTGCATGGATACTCCTTTGGATTCACCAACAGTGAGGGTGTGCCTGTGGGAAATTACTCAAAGGAGAAAGAAGTTATTTAGTAGCAACTGGAGTTCTTTAAGATGTGTTGACCATATGCATGTCTGCATCCTACCCTCCTTCCTCGTCCTTGGAGTGACGTACAAGATATGATTCTGCACTTTAGAACAAACTGAAGGTCAAGAAGTGTGCCAAACCCTTCATCTCCTTAGCATGGGGCACAAGGGCAGGGTAGACTGTGGTGCACTCTGCTAAGGTAAAAAAGTCTTTGACAGTGTTCTCAAGGTGCCTACACCTCCCCTACAGTGGGGATACAAATATGGACAACACATCTTGAAAATTCCAGTAACAGTTAAGTAACTTCTTTTTCATGCTGGCAAAAGAATGGGATGTATAGATTTCTATTTCGTTTCGTATCTAAAGAGGTCTCGTAGCATGGGTTTTAAGACCCGCCAAGAATAATGTTTATTGTTTATGTTTCAGTTTGGCGATTTAAATGCTGTGTCCCCTGGAAATATGGATAAAGGTAAGCATTTACTCTCTCAGGTATTTATGGTACTTCTGTAACTTCTGGATCAAAACAAACCTTAAGATTGTGACAATATAATAGAGTACAACCTAAAAGTAGTCCATCATTAGATAGCTATGGCATTTTTGCATATGCGTGTGGGGAGCCGGGCGGGCACTTTAATTAAAGCATCTCTAATTCAGGTGCCCAGAGCATCTCATGTATCAGCGTCCCCATGCCTCAAAATGGTGGTGGGGCATTTTATTTAAAGCTCATTGAATGAGCTCTAGTTAAAGCACCCCCACCGCCGTTTTGAAGCTCAGGGACGCTGATACACAAGACGCAGAGGCTGGCTGAAGTGCAGTAATTAGCGTGTTCCAACAGGCTGGATTAATCAAGTCTGTTCTGATGTGCTGTAATTACAGCATTTGTTGGTGCAATCTCTGTGCTCATGCACAGGCACCCCTTGTGTTGTTATGTTACATAATAATGATGTAACAGCGTGGATTTGGCTTCTAATATTCTAAATCTTTTAAAATGGCTTAGTGTACATAGGAATAGACATTACAAGTTCCATCCACAATTTAGTGCAATGTGTAGGTGAAGGGTGTGCTTGTGTGTGTGTGTGTGTGTGTGTGTGTGTGTGTGTGTGTGTGTGTGTGTGTGTGTGCCCACACTGAGACCACAAAAGCTTTCAATAAATGAGGACTGCAGAAGTCAAACACTTTCCTAAGTAACTAACTTTTAAAATATCAGTAAGAAATATACCGGAGCAGGTAAGCTTTTATGTCCTGGTAGAATACAAAACTGGCTGTGGGATCTTGGGCAAGTCACTAAACTACTCTTTACTACAATTTTCCCATCTATAAAATTAGGGTAATGATACCAATTTTTTACCCTTTGCATATGAAAGCCACTATATAAGTTAGTATTAATATTGTTTATTAGTGATAACGGTCCATTTGTTTGAGCTGGTTTGCAGAGAAAAAAGCAATGTCACTGTTAATAAGGTGTAGCTATGGTGATTAAAGCTGAGAGTTCATTGAACACATTTATCTTGAATTACGTATTGACTGTTTCCCCAGTAAAATCTCAATTTTCAATCTTCATTTTATCTGGTTGCTAGACTTCCCTGTGTTGTCATATCTTATCTGTTGTTTGCAAAGGAAAGACCCATTGTAATTCTCAACATCTAGATTTTTTTGCATGTATGTGCTAGTTTCACGGTTGTTTGTTTGTGCAGATGAGGGCAGTGAAGTGGAAAGCGAAATAGATGAAGAGCTGGATGAAAATGGAGAGCCACAAGCCAAGAGAGAGAAAACAGAGCTCAACCAAGCATTTCAGGTGGGCTGCATGCAGCCAGTACTTGAGAGTGGAGTACAGCAGAACCTCCTGAACCCACTTCACAATGAGCACATTGTCACAAGTACTCAGACTATCAGACAGTGCAGTGCGACTGGAAATACATATACTGCAGTCTAACTGTTAAAGCTTTTTTTTCCCCAGATTACATTAGCCCTATTGATGTTGGGCTTATTATGACAAAAGAGAATAAGTCTGAAGGTCGACTGTTGTCAAATTTTAGCTGTGCTGAACATTACCTTTCTTGGAGTTGTGAAATGGAATGGGTGTATGTATTTTGCCAGATCTGTTTTAAGAACATTTTTGTAAACAAAATCATTTTACATTGGCCGCTCAATATTAAGAGTTTTCTTAGTTTCAAGTGTCAAGAAGGATTTTGCAAAGCTTAATGTTAATGTTTTTGTCCTCTTACAATTAAAGTAATTTAAATTTTTTCATAGTTTTTTTAAAATATTTTAATGTTAATTGTTAGCTGTGGTGATTTCATATACATCGTTTTTTAATTAGATGCACTTCTGTGAAATATCAAAAGAAATATTTTCTTTGATTCACACTGGAGGCATACTCATTTGACAGCAGCTGCATCAACTTTATTATGAAAAGGTGCTTTTCATTGGACAGAACTAGAAGACACTATTTTGATAATGTTTCCGAGTGTTCAGGGGAAAAGTATTGGGAATTTTTATCATAATGCTGGAGGGTTGGGAAAATCTACTGTTTTCTTTCTCTGAGGAAGAAGTGAAATTTCTGCATTCACGAATGCAGAATAAATGGGAGAATTTTAACAGAATGTGGTAATGTGTACGTCATATGCGTACCTTGTTATCAGATCATCACGTAAACAATGCAAGCTTCCTTTTAGAAACAACCGTTTTGGAGTTTATTTGCATACCAGTTCCTCTGTTTGAAGACTACTGATTCTATATTGGGACCACTGCACAGATGCTTTTGGCTGTTAAGTGGGACTGTAGTTGTTAGAAACTGAAGCTGCAAAAGAAGTGACTTGATTTTTTTTTTTAAGTGTACATGCTACTTATGCTGAACTGGACATGCAGGAAACCATTCCATTTGGATGACTTTCTTCTATTCCAGGTCTTTTTCCTACTAGTAGTTCAATCTGCTGCTCTTATAAAAGATAATTTATAGAATGCAAGGAATGTAGCAACCTGCATCATATTTCTTTCAAAAATATTTCCTGGTTCTTAAAGTGGATTTAAATTTTTACAAAAATTAAAATAAGGCAGTGTAACTGGCACACCTCACGTGTACTTATTCCCAATTGCGTAGAATTTGAATAGGTGGCTAGATGGACCATTGCCATTTAAGAATGTACATCAGGGATCATTGTACCTCGGCTATTACATGGTGCCTTAAACAGAACTGAAGCTAAGATTTAGTACTTTTTGTTATTGTTAATAACTCTTAAATTCATCCAACAAGGTGTGCCTGTCATTTTTCAAATTCCCTAAGAAGTAAGGGCAGGTTACATAGTCTTCAAAGGAAAAAAGGAATTTTTTTATTAAATGGTTTTAATATCCCTCTTAGAGTAACAATAAGCCTATTTTTTCTTGTTTCTAGCTGAATTTCACTTTATTACAAGTCAAATTTGCTTGGGGTTTGAAAAGCAAAACTAGCTTTAATACAAACTTCAGATGTTGTTAATGAAGTAAGTCAACCCTAGTCCCAAGCATGGTTATATATTTTCTAAGCCCTTGTGTACTTTTAATTTTAGAAAATAAACAGAATGAGCAGGTACTTAATGCAGCATACGTTTCCAATTTGGATATGTGGTGGGGTGTTAGCCTGCTATTATGTTTAATGGTTAAATCATGGGGAACACTTCTACATCCTATTTTAATTGATATAAAATATCTTATAAGCATTTGAACCATTTTGTTATTTTTAAAACAGGTACATGAATTTATTCTTCAGATAGTGAAAATAAATAAGCAAGCAAAAAACCAGAAGCCAAAAATGGAGGAAAGCACAAAAAATATTCAGTCCTACAAACAAGGACTGTAGGAAAAAATTAGGGAGTTATTTAGGCTGGTTTACCTAGTGTGTCTATGAAATGATCTTTGAAATTACATATACCAAATGGATGAACAGCATGTGAGAGAATATATTTATAGCATACAGGTTTGTTGCTAGAGTACTCATACGCTCCAAGGAGAGCAACAGATTAACTAAATTGTCCTAATTGTAAACATTTTTAATGTATGAAACATTTTTTAAGTTGCTTAACATTGTGCTTTACAGAATTTGAGGTAGAACCCTACACGTTCTATCTAGGCATAGGTCCCGCTGAAGTCAGTGGGTGTTTTTGCCTCAGTAGCAAGTGCAAAATAGAGTTTATGTCAGATTTTTTAAAATTTACACAGGCACTAAATTGAATCATAGATTTTGTTCACCCACATCTTATTTAAATATGTTCTGATTTTTTTCCTTAAAAACAGCATGTCTGCACCCCTCACCAAAAAAATAACCTAAGCTGTGATAAATATCTACTCCCCTTCATTGTGCATTATGAAATGTTTACAGATAAAATAAAGTGAAATTAAATATGAAAATAAACATTTTTCATTGTCAACATAGTTTTTAATGCTCTAATACTGATGTTCTATAATAACTAGTTTCATCTTTTGTGTTTGACAAAACTTAAATGTTTTATCATTGTCCTTAATTGTTTTTAATGTTGGATTTGTTGCTGAGAGAGAGGCGTGATTGTAATGTGAAAGTATAGATTTCTAAAAGAGGTGGGACCTGTAAGCCTTCAACTTTTCCCCTCCGTTGTTCACTGTTTCCATTGTGTGCAAAAACAAAAAAAGGAATTTCCATCCAGTAGTTAATATTTGTGCCTTTGTTGAACAGATAGTAAACTGAATTTCAGAGCTTAAACATGCCAAAAATCCCAATTAACTAGAGGTGATCCCAAAAAGTTCACTATCAAAACAAACTGGACCCCTGGCAGGTTTTGTTTGTTGAATGGAGTTTGTATTTCCACCTTTATCCCTTGATTTTACTCTCAATTTTTAAATCATATTTTCATTACTCTCTTAAAAGATCTCACCTTTAATGAAATAACAGCTGGTTCTTGTGTATATTTATGGTTGGGGGGGGGAGGGGGAGAGTATTTTTTTTAATTTAATAGAATTGTAGTAAAGCCAGTAACACATCTATCCATCTGTTTGCATACTCCTTCCATTTGCCGGTACCTGGGTATGGAAAATTCTTTTAGGTAATAAAACAGGAATGTGACGTCCCTGACCTCCAGATTCTGCAACATGTCACCTGTGACTGGACACTGGCACCAACTCAGAAGCCTACAAACACCTTGTTAGAAGTGCAGCAGTCTACCAGTGGGGAACATGTTGCAGGATCAGAGACCATCTCATTTGTGGGTTTAATCTAATTTTGACATGGACTTAAGAACAATGCTTTTAAGCAGTTTCCTCCATTAGCACAAACAATGCAGTGAACAATGTAGGGGCCATTGTTGAACCACTTTCTCAAAACACAGGGCCCAATTTTCACAAGTTTTACATGTCTGCAAAGCTGTTGGTACTTTTCCATGGTTCTCATTACAAACTAATTTTAAAGTGACTGCTTTCTCACTTTCCAACTTGCTTTCCTCATTGTGTTCACTCTTGTACTGAGCTTGTTTTTATGCACCTTTGTTTAGATAATGTTCCTTCAGCAAAACGTGGAGAAAAACGTTAACATTGTTTACCTACCACATGAGTGGTGTGCAACATTACTGCCTTTAGTTCACAAAGGGGTGAAATAGATTAAGTGCTGGTGTACTGTCATTCAGGAATGTATAGGTATATATATGATTTTAATTTAAAACGAGGTATTTTTAAATGTCTGAAACACTGCTGTGCTCAAATTATTTTCACTAGGAAACCTGATCTTGAATCTTTGTGATTCTCATTAGTTGACATCTGCACTGTTTAGGAAAACACTTTTATTAGTTGAAACTGCACTGCAATCCATTTTAATTTACAGAAGTGATTTTACCGAACAAAAGAATAATTTATAGCCATAAAAAGAAATTAATGAATAATTTAACTTTGGAATAGTAGAAGTAATTTTTGGTACTTACATGTGACATTAACTCCAGAATATTAATGTCGGAGAGCAGTACTCATTTCTGAAAATTGGGCCCTTGTCTCTATATTACAGGACAACCTCTTGTGTATATGGTTAAAACAGTCAATGAATGGAATTCTAGTATCTCTGATTTGTTTGGTGATTTAAAAAGAAAAACTGGAATAGAGGCATAAACACACAATGCTTAGTTCTAGTATTAGAAAGTTCATTTAATGTAATGCCTTGCATTAACCCTTTGAGCATTGTAAGTCACATAATGATAATCAGAAGATTTTCAGGTAACTTAATTAGTCCACTGACAGTATTCTACATCCAAGTGTCTGGTAAGGTTGTATATAGCTATGGGCCTTTTTTTTTCTTTTTCCAAATCAAATACTTGCATACTACATAGGCTTAATTTTGATGTAGACGGTTTAATAAAATTAAGCTAAACTATTAATTGCCATCTATGTGCACTATCTACAGCAAAACAGTACATCAGTTCCTTTGGTTTCATCAAGTCAGTAGGTTGTGCTGGAATACACCAGTACTGTAAAAGGAAATGTCTAGGAATAAAAAGAAAACAAAAGTGTTTTAGTAAAGAAGGAAGAATTTTGGTGGACATCTAGGTTTCAGCACATCTTTTTGATAAACAATTGAAAAACCACCTAACCTTATTCATGCTATGTTTAACATTTTGTCACTGTAAAAATAACATATGGGTCACTCAGTTCTGGTTCATCTAGGGATGAAGCTATGGATGATACTTAGCGTGCCCAAATTTAAAAATAGCCTATAAATTTACATCTGCCTTTGGCATGCTGAAAACCACCTTTTGTTCTCATAAATAAATAGCGCACAGATTCAAAGCTGGAAGGAGGTCCTTTGAAAATATAGCTCTAGATGTTAACTCATGAAATGAGAATACTGCAGCTATATTAGCATCTCTGCAACAGCAACCAGTGAGCAGCATTATCTGCAGCTGTGCTTGCTTTAATGTAGCTGAGTGCAGAAGAGGTCTCAAATTAAAATGTTAAGTGGAATTACATCAGTAGTATATAGTGCAAGTATGTTGTAAACATTTCTAGTCAGTTAATGCAAATTCATACATAATTAATTAAAACAAATGCAATACTCAAAGGGTTTTAATTTAACAATTTTTTATTCTTCATAATTTACTGTAAATGCTTCTGTTTGCATGCCTTGATCATTGCTGCTAGTGATTTTATGTGCCAGTAGACCTGAGTTTAATTTACCAGTTTTACTTAAGAAATAGTAAAAGCCACTTACAAAGTGACTGCCTAGTTTTTGTTTGATGTAAAATACGCCTTATTTTCAAAAGTTGTTTTAAACCATTTCCTTTTGTTCTGGTTTTGTTTTTATTATTATGATTATGGCTATTATTATTATTTTAAAATAAATTATGACGTTGGGATTGGAAGCCCTGAGTAATGAAATCTTTGGTAAGAATCATTCACGCAGATTGATTCCTAAGGGAGGTATTAGTCACAGAGAAGAGTGCCCAGCACAAGATAGCATGCACCAGATGAGCCTCCTTGAAGCCCTGATTCAGGAAAACACTGCAGCATCTGCTCTCAAGTGCTTTCTTGATTTGGAGCCTGAAGTGGCACTGCTGATCTTGCAGGGGCTATCCACCCTGGTCTGAATTTCACTCTGAAACAATAGATGTCTTTGTTAGAGGAATGACAAGTTGGGAAGAACAGCATCTCATTGAGTGGTAATTACCAGGGGCCCAATTCAGTACTCCAGGCTGAAGAAAATTACCCACTGAAGTCAAGAAATACTAAAAGGGCCTGAGCTAAATTTTCCTTGTATAAAACATTGAAGTGACCACCTTTATTTACACATTAAATGCAATCTTAAAATAACCCAGTAAAGAGATTCTAAATATGCTTTTGTCAAAAAGTACCATTTTGTACCAAAGCAAGTGCCCCGTGCTCCCCATTCCTACTCATCTCCATTGCAAATTTGGATTTACAGTAGTAACCAGCAAGGCTGTTAAAGAAACTTAAGTGAGTGCCTTTCAAAAACTCAGAAATTTGTGCCTGAGGTGGTAAACTTTGATTAGGTTATTCTACAGCTTACCAATCAGTAATTCTGCTATCACTCAGGGCTTTCTTACCTTCTAGAAAACTTTCTTTGTTATGTTTATTTTATATTGTGGGGTTTTTTTAAGTGCCATCTTTTAAATTTCACTTAGTAAGTGGCAGATTACATTTGTCAGTCCCATAAGCACAGACACATAGTAACACTAGGAGATATTTGAACTTTTATTTTCCAATTGACTGAATATATTATGTAAATGAGGTAAGCAACTTTTTGTAGATTGTATGTGTGAGATAATGTAATGTTCTTTTCCAGTTTTTGGATTACAGCTGAATATACTTTTTAATTATTTAAAGAAAACATCTTTACAGAATAACGTGATGTTTTTTCTTTTTTTCTCTTTTTTTGTATAATGTATTTGATTTTGTAAATACGTATTTCCTGATGTGATTTTTGTGAGAAATGCTAAATCTTTTAGTATATCATGTCCTCTCAAAATTGGCAGGAGCTAAATAATAGTTTGTGGGCAATTTGTATTGTGTACTGTACAATAACTGGGGAACTTTTATAATTATAAAAATATATATTAACTTTTAGTGTGTTGTTTAAACAAATGACTGGAACATACTAAAGATAGTAGGATTTTTCTGAATATTTCAGACTTGAACTCAGGCTAGCTTTCTTGTGTTTTTCAAAACAAAATTGTGTCTTGTCTTTTAAAATCAATAAATTTGTTTTCTTGTTACAAACATATTTAAGTGCTTTGGTTTTTATTTATTTTTATATAGCAAGCATTTTATTTTACAGAGACTTAGTTTGGGGCAAAAAATGAAGTCACTTCAGCCTTTTGGATTGTGACTAAAACATTAAATATTTCTATTTCAAAAACCAAAACCATTGCAGTGTATGCTTTAGAGCACAAGAGAAAACTTGCAATTGAGCAATCATACCAATTAGGAGCTGTCCATTTTACATGGAATTTTTCAGGCCAGGTTAAAATTTTATTTTATAAAATTTTGTTTTAATTGGTTTATTTATACTTATAATACAAGATGATAAGTCTGTGTTCTCCTTAAAAAAGAAAAATGATATTTTATACTCTTCACTGAAGATCTCCAACACAAATACTGCGCTTAGGCTTTCATGCTATGAATCAAAAGTGTCCTGTGTGGGGCACATCCAAAATGTTTAGTGCAGATCTTCACTGCAATTAAGAAGATCTGTGCAGATGAGTTGTTATTGTTTTATTTGTATTACTGTAGAAGCTGTTACATCCAACTGGAAATGGAGCTCTATTCAAATAAACACTGTGCAAACATTGAATCAGAGATTGCTATTATCTGTAAGAGTTTACAATCTCTATAGGCTAGAAGGACAAAGGGTTGGAGAAAGAAATAGAATTATCTGCATTCATAGATCAGGAAGGAGAATTTTGTATAGGGTTACTAGTGTGTGATGCCATTTTAAAGCCTAATATAAACGTGGTTATGGGTGAACCAGTGTTACACAATCAGACAATCTGAAGAGATCCAGCTATATTTTGCCTAGGTTTAAAAAACAAACTGTAGCTCTCAGAGAAGCATACGCAAAGTTATAAGCTGTTGTTGGTCTTTCCTCTGTAGATTTAGCACAACCAGTAATTTGACCATGCAGATAAGAATAATCAGTTTATTGGTGTGAACACAGAAGGATGCATGGAGTAAACCCTGATTTTTTTCAGAGGTGCACATCATTCACCACTTCAGTGACTTCAGAGGCAGTGGCACACACTCACACAAATCCAAAGTTAATTTGATTTACTTACTTGCTAAACTGAAGCCACTTATTAACAGTCATTTACAATTATTTAATTTATTTGTCTAGTTCCAATACTTTGCTAAGTATTTTACTGATGGGCCCTTGCCAGAAATGGCTTACAATTTAGACAAATTATGAAGAACACAGGAAAAACAAAACAGGAGCAAGTAGTGAATTTAGGTGAGTTATTCCTTATTCCTCAATTTTTATGTTGTTTAATAATTTTTCTATTGTCTATTTTATTAGCACTATTTTCCAAGAGAGGTGTTATTTCTAGCACACTCATAATTAATGCATTTAAGAAAAAACTGAAAGAAGAAACAGGTGCCAACACCTGGTGGATCAGGTCAAAGACACTGACATGAGTGGGAGAAAGGTAGGAAAGCTTATGTGTTTGCAAGTTATTTTATTGTCAGTGATGTTGTCTGAGGTTTTATCTTATCTTCAAATTTAGTATTTGTGACAAGTAGTGGAGTTGCTATTCTGTAATGTGCTGGGCTGTTTTTTTTAAATGTGAACTACAGAACTTAAATGAAAGCTGAGTTAAGTCTGGAACCATGTGCTGGCTGTTCCCACTAGCCTGGGTACAGGGAATATTCAGCAAGGATGTTTGGTTTCATTAACCTTTTAGAATTTTTTACCTACCACATGTGATTTTTCCGTAGAATGTCCTTATTTGTTGAAGGTAACTTAATACGTCCATCTATGAAATCACTCTACCCACTGTCATTCACCCTATTAGCTGTAGGCATTATATGTACATTAATTAGAGATGTGATAGTCATATTTTAGGCTCCCAGGTCTCTATTTATTAGCAGTCTCTTCCCATATGTTTGAAATCTGCACATATGTTTAAACCTTTCCAGCATAATCCAGTCTCTCCATGTTTGTATGCAGTTTCTCTAGAGATACAAAGAATCTATTGTATTTAATACCAACTGTGGCATAAAAAGAAGTTGGCTATATATGGAGGTCGTATTACTGATCCTCCAAACTTTCATTCAATAATTATTTGGGTTGCAATAATTACTTGGGCTATGATTTGTTCTGACACATTTATCTGGGCTAAGGGTTGAAAATGCAGTTTTTCTAGTTAAACAGAAAGAAGTAAGTACCAAATGTGAATCTTTTACCATGTTAACTACTTTCAATTTTATTCAGTCATCTAAAATTGTATGCCTCAATGGTAAGTATCTCATCTTAAACTTCATGAAAGAAAAAAATATTTGCATTTTGCAGGGGGTTTTTTAATTCATCCATGGAGATTTGTGGCTTTATAATGAGTCTCCAAAATTCTACTCATTACACCTGTCAAAAACATTTTGGCAGAAATATGGAGTTGTGGTGAGTAAATCACACTGAGGAGCTTCTTAGTGTGAATTTGAATCGTCCATAGGCATCGACTCCAAATAGTCTATCAGTAACAAAACAATTTCAGTCTTCAATATTGCCAACTACACAATCAAAACTCATGAGGTTAGCTTAAAAGTTTATTTTAAAAATATGCTTTTAGGATTCTTTTTTGTTTTCCTTCTGGTTGAGGATCCATTGGGATAGAGTTGCATCATATTTTCAGGTGGGGTTTTAGGGCAAAAACTTGCTTTTAAAACTAAAGCTGTAATTCTTCCATAAGACTATGACACCCTGTGACCTGTGGTCTTAATAACACCAAATATCACCACATTATGAGCTTTCATAACAGTAGTACTTCAGTTTTCAGTATGAAAACCTGTGGTAGAAACAAAGTGCCTATACGAAGTAAAACAGTGGCCTCTGGTTTAATTCATTTCGCTTAGCACAGTTCCTCCAGATTTTTCATAATGATCTTTATTTGGATGTTGTAAATGTTTTTTTGGAAGAAGTTCTCTCAGGTTAGGGTCTTTCTTTTGAAACAAGTAATACAGTACCATTTTCATCTTTCATATTTTACAAATTCAGATGATTGAATTCATATGGAGAATGCTCTGAAATGCTACGTCAGACAGATACAGTGTCTGGCAACCAGGCCCAGCCAGTTTAAGGCTTTTTGTGTTAAATTCAACACCTCATATTGAACCTGACTGTGAATTGAAAGTCTGCAGATCATGGTGCACATATGCAAGAAACCCCCGTACACATTTGGGCTATTTCATTCTGCACTGACAGTCGTCTAAATCAGGGATGTTAATCTCACCTCATGCCTCAGCCAGACCATGTAGCTTCTGCAGGCCAGATCTAGCCAGGGGTACACTACAGTAGAGGTAGGTCTGGCTCTGGCCCAAGGCATGTGGTGGCAGTGGCAGCAGCTCCAGCATGGGGCACAGGATGGCAGTGGCAGAGATGAAGCTGCCACTGTTGCCATGTTCCCCATGCCCTGTGTTGCAGTGAAAACCCAGCACAGGCAATGAGGTGGCTGCAGAGCTGGTGCCAAAGAGATGAGACTACTTTGGTGGCAACAGGTGAAGCAGCTGGAAGGCGACCAAGGCTTATCAGCCCTCCTTTGCTCTCCTGCTGCTGATTGCCATGTCCAGCAGGGTTCAAGGACCCTGGATTTTACAGCAGACCACTCTACCTGGCCATGCCCCTCCAACTTGCTGTTGCCTGTCAGAAGTCCAGTGGACCAGACAGAGCACCTCTATTGGTCAGATCCAGGCCATGGGCTGTATATTTGACACCCCTAGTCCTACCAGTTTTTAGAATTAGATCTTTTAGACGTAACCTCATTCATGGGTCATTACTATATAAGTCTGTGGGACAAAAATAATAGAGTCGCTATAGCTAGGTCCATATCTGAAGGGAAAGATACAGCCTCCTGCCAGTAAATACCAAAAACTTCTCTTGGTCATGTGCACTGCCTAAGCTTTCAGAAATAGCAGAGGCATAATAATGTGTCTGTGGGCTCGCAGAAGCAGTAGCCACTGTTTTAGTGGCCCATCAAAACTAGCCCACCCCTATTTACGCTCCTGCCCCCCAAGAATAAGAATGCAAATAACAAAATGCAAAGGCAGGTCATCTGGTTGAGGGATGCAACATCAACCACCTTTTGTTCCAGTTGTTGTCCATTATACCGATTAATTCTAATCCTGTCTAATCTGAAATGCATCCTGTTGGCTCTCAACTAAACTCTGATCCTGACAATGCTTTTGGGTAAGCCAGTATGATCACCTAGCACATCTGATAGCACAAAGTGTTAGAGCAGAAAGTCCCATGAGAAACTGAAGAACCTGTACCCGTAGCCAGTTCCCTGTCTCCTCTGCTTGCTCCAAATGGACATTGAACAAGAATGACAATAGGGTAAATCCTATAGTAAGAGTCCAAAAGACTCTTCAGCATAACTGAGCAGTTGCCCTGACATGACCCTTCATGTTCTATCAGATAGAGTAGAACTATTCAAGAACAACTCCATTTATTCCTACTTGGTCCCACAATCATATTAATCCAACCCATAATTAGGGATCTATGTAAATTGCAGAGGAAGTGGCCTCTGCAGTGGCTCCTTTAAATGTATTTGTTTGACTGATTCCTCTCCCTGCCACTGATCCTGATTGATAGAGGGGCCCTGCTGGACAGGCCATTTGTCACTGATCACCAGGGAAGCAAAACCACAGTTTTAAATATGCCACAGATTTTGCTTCCCTGCCGCCGATTAGCAGAGGGGCTCCCAGTGCCCCTTGTCAGTATAAGAAATTATCGTAAGCTATGACTATATCTTCAGCAGCATTGCAATCAAACAAGCAGCACTGCTCCATGCAAGCTGCTCCCTAACTGTTTCTGCATGGCATCATGGTTATATTAACTAGCTTGGCCCTCGGCTAACTAGCCCTATCATTCAGCAGTGCTAATTAGCCTGCATAAACCACTATGCTGACACAGCTATGCTGCTTCTAGTTTAGGTGGCAGCCTATGCAGAGCACTGTGCTTGAAGTCCCTGC